GATGATACTGGAGATCTGTGGAGGTGAGGCTGCACCCTGCGTGATGGGAGATGTCTCCCGTGTCTTCTGATATGGCGTGAACTCGTTTAAATAAGAGACGAAAGAGTTGGGATAACATTTCTTTCAGCTGGCATGAAAATCTCTTGAAGAACTGCTTAATAAATCAAGTAACTGGTGTGGGGAAGGACAACAAGGCTTCAAGACCAAAACTATAATCGTTATCCTGTCTTTGGATCACTTTCACGCTCGGAAAACATGGTTGTTCGACGTAACTTCACCCGAATCGAAGCAGCAGTGTGGAGGAAGAAGGATATGCCATGCGAGATGCGCTTTTCATCCACCATAGGTTGGTATCTTGCCTACCACGACCCAAGACACAGGTTTCCAGTAACAAAATTCCTCTCGCTCTTCAAGTAAATCATTATCCCCACTATTGGTACGGGGAGCAGGAGTGGGACACAACGGCAGAAGGGCTTTTACCTTAACAATGCCCGTCCAGACGACGTCCTTCTTGTCCAGCTGTTCGTCGACAAGAAATCAGTTGTAGAATATAAGTTAAATGTTAGAGAAATCCTGAAATTTGACTCGAATCAACGTGTCGTCGCCAACTTCATTAGTTTCCTCAAAGGAAAAGAAAGTTATGACGGCGGTGTTACGAAGTCGTCCGTGAGAACATTTCTATTGCACCTCCCAATGACATCCTTACAGCGCTTCCTAAGCCCTGTTCTATTGAATGCCTTTATGAATTATCTTATTACACCTCTCGGGGAAATCCGTAACTGGACGTCTTGAGCCCATACCCACTTACTGTAGTAAAGGCATAAAATCAGCTCGTTACTCAGGTTATAAAAAAGCGAACCAACGCCTTGTTTTTCGTCAGCCACCCGTTGGTTCAGCCGGGAACCAACGTCAGTTTTTCTTCGCCTACGTTTGCCGTCACCTGGAGAGGATAGATACTGGACAGAGCTCACGGTCCCCCTCATAATTTCGGGTTTAATATCACTCCCAATATGGGAATAGGGTTCAACACCGCTCCCATTATGGATATGGGGTTCTCTGCCATTCAAAAGATTTTTTCTTTATATTCCATCCTCATTAATTTGTCTTCTTTAGCCATGCAATGGACTGTGTGTGCGTGTGCGTGTGCGTGTGTGTGTGCGTGCGTGTGTGTGTGTGTGTGTGTGTGTGTGTGTGTGTGTGTGTGTGTGTGTGTGTGTGTGTGTGTGTGTGTGTGTGTGTGTGTGTTCCTTCATTGTTCCTTCATCCCTACCTTATATCTCAGCTCCTTGTCCTTGTATCCCTTTCCTGTGCTATATTGTCATACTGGTTTATCGCTTTCTTCTCGTAATTACCAGTGTGTGTTTTTGAGAAAACGAAGGGGGGGGGGGGGGGAGGACTAGTGAGACAGAAAACGGAGAGGGGTGAAAAAGCAGAGTGAGTTAGGAAGACAGGAGTGAGTGTGTGAGAAAGCAGCCCAGGAAGCTCTGCTCATGAGATTACTGCTGATCACTTCCCTGACCTCACCCCCAACCTTCACAACCCTGACCTTACTCCCCCCCACCATCACCTCGCTGACCTAACTCCCCCACCTTCACAACCCTAACCTAACCACTCCCCCGTTTTTACCCCCAATAATATCCTTACGGACGAAATGTACCCTAAACAAAGTCTACTCTCACCTCAATATTTATCTACACTATTCCTGATTAATAGTGTAAACGCGGTAATTATCATCTAAAAGTAAATACAAAAATATATCCCATAAAGGGCATAATAAAATGCATTATATAAACCAGTTACAACACTGGTATATTATATATATATAAATATATAAGTACCAGCTATATGACTATTAGCTGAAGAACTATCTATTATACGAAAGTGTTCGAGTTGTTCAACTTCAGCTTCATTCTAGTAAGTCATAATGATTCTAAAATCATGAGAGTAAGTCTTGAACACCGCAGAGGTCAGGACTGAAATTCATGGGAGTGAAAGGGTGGTCAGCTGGCGACAGTGACACCCATCTTTGAAGAAGAAGAAGAAGAAAAGGACGTTTTAAGGGGAAAACAGCGCCGTAGGATCTAGTTACGTGTCTACAAATTCAGTATTATAATTACGTTAGATACTTCTCACGTATCGAGCAGTGTAGTTCAAATACTTAAAAGGTCAACACCTTGTCTGGGAGAAGGGTAGTCCATCTTTAAGCAACCCATTAATTGATTTATACTACCCCAAAACTGCTACCATTAACTTCCCCTTTATACTGGTTTATTAAACTGAATTGTATCGTTTAAATTTGTATGCATTTTATAGATTTGTTTATGGTTAAAGGGCAGATTAAGTGTTTTGGTTCTGTTGGTAATTGTTTGTATGTATGTTTCGTGTGCGAGGCGTTTATAGCAACTTGTCCTCGACTCAAGTACATTACATCCAGCGGTTGACCCCACAGACGCATTCATAAATTTTTACATGTTGTTCATTCAAAACAGGAATTTTCTCAAATAAAAATTATATAATAATATATTAGCATATTGTCCATATATAGGCATAGGCTAGGTTAGGTGTTTAGGTTCTGTTGGCGATTATTTGTATTTGTAGTACGTGGGTGAAGCATTTATAGCGTTGTGGTTCGAACAAAATTCGTCAGTGAAGCACTTGTTCCAGAAGTGTTCGAACGAAATCAGCTGTGAGTCGTGTGTAAACCATTTTTCATTCATAAACAGGGGGGTTTGGCGGGTGGATGGAATCACTTTTGGGTCTTTGTTTGGAGGACAGACTGCTGGATGTACAACCCGTCCTCCAAACAAAGATCCAAAAGTGATTCCATGCACCCGCCAAACTCCCTGTTTATGAATGAAAAGCGGTTTACACACGACTCACAACTGCTGACGTTCGAACATATCCGGAACAAGTGTTTCACTGACTTATTTTGTTCGAATCACAACGCTATAAATGCTTCACCCACGTACTACAAATACAAATAATCGCCAACAGAACCTAAACACCTAACCTAACCTAACCTATGCCTATATATGCACAATATGCTAATATATTATAATATTAATTTATACTTGAGAAAATTCCCGTTTTGAATGAACAGCATATTAAAATTTATGAATGCGTCTGTGGGGTCGACCGCTGGATGTAATGGACTTGAGTCGAGGACGGGTTGGGATGTAATGGACTTGAGTCGAGGACAGGTTGAAATGCTTCACCCACGAACTACAAACACAAATAATCGCCAACAGAACCTAAACACTTAGTCTAACCAATGCATTAAATATGCACAGTATGCTACTATATGGCAATATTAACTTGTATATGAGAAAATTCCTATTTTGAATAAACATCATGTTAAAATTAATGAATGTGTCTTTTGCTGGAAATTTTTACCCACCATATCTAATAATCATCTAAGAAATGTATAATTACTATATCATTTCTATATCATATCAAAATCATATCTAAATCGTATCAAAATCATATTAGAATCATTATAGATTCATTATATAGCTTGATCCTAGATAACAATGTCACTATGATCACGTACGCTACAGAGCCCTATTGATGCCTACGTGACTTTGTGCATGATCTCTCAAGGATCCAGAAGCTTCTAGAAGGATTTGCTATTGGAACATTTATTCAATATCCAGTAGGGATAAAATCGAATCCTTAATAAGAATCAGTGGTACTATCAAGTGCTACTAATAATCTTTATATCCTATATCTAATTATATTATAATCACATCTTATCTCAATCATAAGTCTAGACTGTAAAAATAATCAATCAATATTCATAGAAGGCTACCGTGCTCAGGGAGCATGGCAGGGCGATGGAGGGAATTAAGCGCCCACCAAGACAGCCCGGGGCACTTCCTGTTTGTTTACAACTGAGTGAACAAGTGACGGATCCTTAGCGAACATTACCAGCTCAAGGACACCTTATCTAATATCTTTATCACCAGTGAACACTCTCTAGAACTGGGGGAGTACCTGGACAATATCTACAAGGAAAATCCTAGAACATTTATATAAAATAAGAGTGTATAGTGGAGATCACAGTGACACGGTTTCCACCACCTTCATTCCTAATCTTTATCAACTATCATTCTTCTGCAACTGCAGGGACAATCACGTAGCAATGCTACCAGATCATCATACAGCAACGCTGTGACAAAATATCGTGCCTAAACTCAACAAGAGAGAGTTAATCAGTCTGGCACCTTGTCAGACAGGCACCCCGACTGGCAGAGAAGTATATTAAAGGTTATTTTGGTATATGATTGGCCAATTGTATGCTTGTGTGACTTTAATATCCTATAAATCTGTCTGTTGGTTAAAGTCAAGCTGACTGTACCTAATCATAAATTGAATATAAATACATTGCATATATACTTTAATATATAAATTAAGTTATCAATTGCTTGCTTAGTTAATTTTTAAGTTATCATATAAGTTCATTTAATTGAATGATTTCTAGTACTTAGTTAACAGTACTTAGACTACAGTTAAGGTCATTTATTATACTTTTACAATTTAATTTGTTGTTTATAGTATAAGTACATATTGGCTGTTAATAGTTATGGTACTAGGTTAGACTATGTATGTTTAAATCCCTGATTTAAACAGAGCCAGTGTTCAGTCATATAACTGAATTTATTAAATCTTATCCTTGTATAAAATACAAGCTGATGTGAGATCCCTGTCTACAGGTGAACTGGAACTTCTATCAACTAATTCATTCACCCCACCTGTCCCTTACAGCCCACAATCTGTCATTAGGAAAAGAGGAGCTAGGATTTACATCCCTAGCTAGAGATTTTAGTTGAATTAATTTGCAGACAGTAAATTTTGAATTTAGTTCAGTACAAGTCCCTGGTAGTCTCCTCTTATATCAATCCCAGCAGGTTTTTCCCACATCTTTGGCGTCGACCTCTGGATGGAATGAACTTGGTCTGAGGACGGGTGTCGATGAGGAATGTCGATAGTTCTTAGGGCAGTGTCATATGACGCGACTGGCATATGACATTCCCAACATGATTCATTTTTGAAAGAAGGGTGATGCTAGCCCCTCTGGCTTCCAACTAAAGACAAACTGACACACATTCTATTGTATAGATGTACATGTATACCAGTTAAATGCTGTGATGAATTGGTTTACGCATTGATGCGTGATTGCTGCGTAGCGTCGTTTGCATTCGTGCCTGTTTTGCATATATTTGATTGTTGCAGATTATATGTAATGTTGCAACTGTCTCAATCGTCTTTGGTGGGCTAATATGTGGGTATTATTTATAATAATAAGTTTTTATCGGATTTTAGATTCTTTGTCTCCATTTATCTCCGGAAACAACTATGCCTTAGTGAGGTATCCACCCACGCAACTGATTCCCACAGACATTCAAATCAGGGTTATTGTGTAGGCCTACCCACTAGCTCTCACTATGGGTTCCCACAGGTACTTAAACCAGTGGTTCTCTCGGGTTACAGGGTAGGCCTGCCCATCCTCAATATAGGTTCCCACAGGTACTCGAACCTGGGGCCCAGAGCACCTGCCTCATCCCACCACTACAAGTTGTTTATCGTTACTACGCTCCTTCGTCCTCCACACTCACACACATACACACACATCCACACCCACTTACACACACATACACACATCCACACCCACTCATACATACTCATCCAGACACGCTCTCACACCAGCCATCTGGCTATATAAGGAAGAGCGCCTCCGTCCTGCCTCCTGCACTCCACGCAAGAATGAAGCTGTTCTATTTAACTGGTAAGTTTTCTCTTAACATTAGAATTAGAATATAGAATATATAAAATATATGGTGTGTTCCCTTAAGTTATAAATCTGTATTTCTAGGCAATATTAGAGGGTTATACATGCCCTGTTGTGAGGGTCATCTTCTGCCTCGCCATATATCAGGGGGAGTGACGCTCCGGACAGTAATATAATGGTAGTAATATTATTGTTGCACTGATGTGGTAGCTGTGGTAGTGACCTGCAGCGCCTCCTCACCCATGGACGGGCCTGCAACCTGCCCCGTCCGTCATCACACCTCCCACGTCTCGCCGATCCTTCATGACTACCACAACCCGACTACGGATGACGTGCAGTTCCGCCTCTATACTAGGTAATGGCCCCTCTGTGGAGCTCCACCCCTTCCGTGGAGTTCCACCCCTTCCGTGGAGCTCCACCCCTTCCGTGGAGCTCCACCCCTCCCGTGGAGCTCCATCCCTTCTGTGAGCTCAGGCTTCCTACCTGTGTTGCACTGATCTTGCCATTTCACATATGTTTTTCCAACGTTGTGAGTTCCTGTGACTCTCGGGCGATACCTGACTTCTCACAGAGCGACGCAGAGCGGTCCACCGGAGATACTGACGGCGGGGAACGTGAGCTCGCTCTTACACTCGCACTTCCGAGGTGACCTTCCGGTGAGCGTCCTTGTACACGGCTACCTCGAGACTGCCGACAATTCTCCCTGGATGCTGGAGACTAAAAACGCGCTCCTGACCAGGGTAAGTGATGTCCAATTACATTTTTTTCCCTCTTTAAATCTTTTTTCATGCCATTATCAGCATTATTACCTGGTTGATACCTGGTTGATGGGGTTCTGGGAGTTCTTCTACTCCCCAAACCCGGCCCGAGGCCAGGCTTGACTTGTGAGAGTTTGGTCTACTATTCATGAGCCTCAATGAATTGGTGTCTACAGGCGGAAATGAATGTGGTTGTGGTGCAGTGGGCGGTACTGGCCGACGGTCTTAACTACTTCACCGCTGCCCACAACACGTTCTTCGTGGGCGGCGTCATAGCTGACCTTCTTCGCTTTCTCCAGGTGAGTGCGACATTATGGCCAAATCCAGGCGAGTTATATTTTATATATGCGCCATATAGAAAAAAAATGTTCCATTAATGTATCAAATGATTCCCGAGTCAATCATTAATCTATTTGAGAAGCCTATCAGTTTTTCTTGTATGCCTATAGACTCACTCTCTTGAGATTACCTACTTATACACACCTCTCCTATAACTTCCTGTTGTATATTCTTACTCCACAGGACCAAACGGAAGTTTCCCCCAAGCTGAAGGTTCACCTGATTGGCTTCAGCTTGGGTGCACAGGTGTGCGGGGTGGCCGGTCACCTGTTCCCTGGCGTGGCCAGGATCACAGGTCAGTCCCACCTCTGGCTGGTTCAAGTTCCCTGTTGGTTACAAGCGACATGAAATTCGAGGACCACAGGACAGCAAAAATTCCCGCTTCGCGGTAGTTTTAGATATTGGGTTATCTAAAATCATTCTTGAGGGGGATTTCGTTGGGGGGGGGGGTTATGGAATGAGAAGTAGGCCTAGAAAGGGAAGTGCTCTTAAAATTGTGTTTCCAAATTCCTGGGAAGCCTCTTGTATTCTGAAGTGCTTTATTCTCTGGTCGAAGTAGGCCTTTGGGATGAGTTAAGTGGTGTTTGGAGCTCCATTATAGTTCTCGAGTGTTAAGAACAATAACGGGTTAAGCTTGAGGTAGAGGTTTGGCCAGTGTTTTTAATCTACAGTGTGTTTTTGCCTCTCCGTCAGTGTACGAACCGAGACCAGCCCCGCTCCCTAACCTTGCCCAATCTCTTTTCACACTTCTAAAGTGCAATAATTTTTCACTTTAGAAGGGAAGTGATGGTGTTCTTTAAATGAGCCAACAGAGGTGAGGTGGCAGTCGGTCGCTGGTTTCTGGGCAATCCAAAGGTTTCTTTTCCATACCCATTCACGAGTCCCAGGGTTAAATTACCATTAACGTCCACAGCAAGTTATAGCAAGCTGGTTTTCCTGCATTATAACAGAAACAAATGCTGAAAATTGTGTGATATTTTGCCTAACTAGCTCGCAGGTTTATTCTCTGTAAATGCCAAGAATGTCCTCAGAGTGGTAAATTTCACATCTAGTAAGTCTTTCCCACCGGATGTGTTGGACTACATACTCCTCAGACTTTCCTGTCCCCTTTCCTATACAATACACAGGTCTGGATCCCGCCGGCCCAGCCTTTGAGTCGGCGACCTTGGAGAAGCGGCTAGACCCCTCCGACGCCGACTTCGTCGACGTCATCCACACCAACGCCGGCAGACTGATCACAGTTCACTTCGGGTTCCTGGAGCCAGCTGGCCACGTGGACATGTACATGAACGGAGGAAGCTCTCAGTACGGCTGTCCCAGCTTCATCACGCCTTGTGTTGTGGATCTTCTCAAACTCAGTGAGTCGTTTTGCCGTGGTTGCCTGTCGAAGTATTTACGTGTGTCCGCTTATCTATTTAATCAAATTTATCTTCTATCTACTGTTATTGTTTGCCTTTTTAAATTGTTATATTTATGCAGCTGGGGTGGAGGCCTGGTCGAGGACCGGGCCGCGGGGACACTAAAGACCCGAAATCATCTCAAGATAACCTCAAGATAACCATTATATTTCTGCAGAACCCAAAGACATCATTGTGTGCAGCCACGACCGTTCCCACGAGTACTTCCGAGAGTCCCTGACGACCGGGGAGCCCTCCTACGGCTTCTCCTGCCTTGACTACAAAACTTTCGAGGTGATGTGTAGAATCTTGAGTCGTTCATTCATTATTGGTTAGCCCAAGACTTGGGCTGGACGGTAACGCGACGGTCTCGCTTCATGCAGGTCCCCGATCGTCCAAGTGGTTGGGAACCTTTCCTTTCCCCCGTCCCATCCCAAATCCTTATCCTGATCCCTGCCTAGTGCTATATAATAGTAATGGCTTGGCGTTTTTCTTGATAGTTCTCTTCCCTTCATTATTGGCTGTAGGTACACAACGTTGGTAATGCTGACGTACTATTTAATGCTCACAATGCCTTTACCTTTGTATTTACACATTAAATTTTTTTAACACTTATTGCAAGCATTTTTTAATAGGGTTTCACCCCATCCTCTCTTTAAATTTATATAATATTTACGCACTTTATAATAAATAAACGGTGTATAAGAGGAAACAGTTATAGTTCAGTATACGAATATCGAGGCGGTAATCCTTGGGCCAAACATACTTCAGGACTTGTTTACTGACTATAGTCAGTAAACAAGTGTCACGAACTTAACAACCCTCCAGAGGTTGTTATCCTCTTAGATGAACACTACCATCGTCAATCTACCGTCACCTAATCCTTAGGTCACCTACCAATCACTCCCCTTGCCTAATCGTACACGAGGTCTCCTCCCCTCGAAACGAAACAAAAGTTTGGTACAAAGTGCGGTAGACCCATAGTTAGTATACCCTTACCTCGAGTGTTGTATACTCGTGCATAATATGATATGGGTTGTCGTAACAACTACGTCCTGACGTAGGCTGGGCTGTGCTTCTCCAACCCCAAGGCGGCGCTGGGCTACGACGTCGACATCAACACCACCGGAGTCTTTTATCTCGACACTCAGGTCAGCCAGTTTAAACCTTTTGACGTCCTTGCATCATGAAACAGTGAATTTATTCAATACAACTTATCATAATTAGTGACAAGGTACATTTTACCAGTTTTACTCATTCTATCTCTTAAGGCTTGACTTGAGAATGGTCCAGGACGGACCGAAATGTCGTCGTCCCTTCATTTTTTAGTGTGTGGATTGGTCAACTCTATTTATTTATCAGATGATTCTTGTCTCGTATTGCTTGGTGTGCTTACAGGGTGAGTCGAGGTTCCTCTCCCGCCACGTGAAGGTGGCGCTGGAAGTGGGCCTCGGAGAGCCGGCCTACCACGGGTCACTCTACCTGCAGACGATGCTTCCTGGCAGGGTCACAAGGAAGGTGGAGATGCTCAGGTCTGTTCCCTTTAACACCTCTACTTTCCGGGTTGAGCTGTATCCCTTGGTCTCCGTAAATAAATATTGGGTCAATTCCCGGGAAATAAGCTTCAGGGTGGTGTGTGTGTGTGTGTGTGTGTGTGTGTGTGTGTGTGTGATCTAAACTGCGCCTTCTAGGTGAAGCAGTATTACAAGTATGTGTGATTTGTCATAAATAATTACAACACGAGTTTATATGTTGCAAAGTGAAGCTTCATATTTCCAATGATGTGACTCGATGTGACTTAGTTTCCACCTGCGCCCCCTTGTTTATGTTCCCCTTTTTCATTGTCCAGCCCGTGGTCTTGATTTGCCACAACCTACAATATAACGGGTACTAAAACACACGAACCTAAGTCGCCCACCTAACCCAACCCACCTATGCATAGAAAACGTGGATATTTGTGAGCCACTACTTTCATAGTAGCCCTTATTCTGTACGTTCGGAACTATATCGTACACAATGCTATATATTAGTTGAGAGGACGGGTTGTCATATTCTATTGTACCTTACGATTTTCACGATTATTTTGTATGTTGTGATCATGTCTTTTTGCACCACGGGATACGGGCTCCTTGCTCTCGTTGCATATTCAAGAACGGGTAATCATGCGCTTGTGTGCTTACGGGCGTCGCATGGCAAAGAGCTCAAGCTCTTTGGAGGGATAAGGGGCTGTTTGATCTGTAACCGTTGTCTCTGTTGTGTCTTGACAATTGCTAGTTTCTGGGAGATTCCCTACATACGTAAAACTTTTCCCTTCCCTGCTTTGCAGCGGGTGGTGGCCAAGCCTGGAGCCCGGAGAGGCCCACCAGACCTCACTGGCGGCGCCTGTAGGGACAAACTTAGGAAAGCTGGACATCCAGTTTCTGTTCCACAAGAACCTTCTGTTTACCTCTCCCAAACGCATCAAGCTCCGGAGAATAGAGGCACTGGACACTTATACAGGGAAAACGTAAGTAACTTGACATGTCAAATGGTCGTCGATCCGAGGGAATTACAGTAGAGGGATTAAAATACAAAAATATTTAAAATCATTTTGTGCAATATACATGTAAATGAAACCTTTGAATTATAGTAAAATTTGTAAGTAAATGTTAAGATTTTGAACCAGATATGGTAAAAGAGAAGGGCAGTTAGTCATTTTTTCTGAATTTCTCCGTAGAATTTGTTATTCGGTAATCATTATTTTGCCAAAATGCTGCAATCAATGTAAAATTACTTTTTCCATTGGGGTTTGCGCATCGTATAACTCTCTCTCTTCCAGCTGTAACATTACAGGATCGCAAATCTGGCACCCTGAATGTGATGGGTGTGACGTCACAGTTTCCCAGACGAGGGATATTATTTTGATTAATTTTCGAACTTCAAAAGCTTAGTAATATCGGGTTACGTTATCCTGTGAACGTTAATAGCCCAGCACACCAAGTGCCAGTATCCAAATAACGTCCTGTGTCATATGGATCGATATCGTATGCACTGATAACGTACCATCGACATACATTGTCGAAGAGGAAGCCTATCAAAACTGTTATCCTAGTCCCCCCTAAGGCTAGGCCAACTACTTGCTTTTCCCAGGATGCAACCCATTGTCTAATTACCTGGTTCCTATTTACTGCTAGGTGAACAAAAGCAACAGATAAACGAAAACTTGCGCAAACGCTATAGGTACTAAGATTTTATTGCATTTCATTTAGCTGCAATATATTGTTTGGAGTTGGCTTAAGGTCTGTCAATCTATGGAGATGTATGTCACAACAGCTGACTGACCAACCTGTAGTTAGTGTTCTGTAGCAGCGTTCGGGGCAATGGCGCCGCCTTTACGAGATGATAAAGAATACAAAGATAGTAGACCTCACCTAGAGTTCAACGTCTCGTGGTCTTGTCTGGGGCTAATGAAGAGGTCTCATGAACAGACAGGTGAGGGATGGGGAAGTGAAGTCCAATACAGCCGGTAGCGTCACAGGTCCTGAAACTGGTTGTGGTAAAGAACGGCTGCTTGGCCTGGTCGTCGACCGGGCCGCGGGGACGCTAAGCCCCGGAAACACTGCAAGGTAACTTCAAGGTTGGCAGGGATGTGGTACAATGCGCGGGTGTCTAGTGACGGAGACGTGTTGCCTGGGAGGGTGGTCTCGCATTGTGGCTCAGCCAATCACCTCCGAGATTGGAGGGCGGAAACTCCCGCCGGCGGGAAGTTGAAATGTAATTTCCTCCACTATACTTTAGTGGAGGGAATTGTTAGTACTGACAAAATTGAAAGGATAGAATTTCAAAAAGACCAAATTCCTTGAACTATGTCCTTTTTTTAGGACCGTGAACGGGAAAGTTGTTGCTTTTTTCTGGGCAGGACCGTAATAGGGACCGATAGTTCATTTTACATCAATTCCTAACCGGAGAGGATTGACTGGGCGCCAATCCTTAACTGTAGCCTCTGTTCACACAGCAGTCAATGGGTACCTGGTTTTTTAAATAATTTGGCGGGTCGTATTCCGGAGGAAATTAGAATTAAGGACTTGCCTGAAACACTATGCGTGCTAGTGGCTGTACAAGAAAGTAAAAACGTGTATATATATAATATATAATTTACCGTGTCAAGGGACAGGAAGCCAGAGTGTATTCATACACATTTGGCTTTTATTTACGTCCCCCCCCCCATAAGGCCGAATTACTAACCCCGCCCAGAATGGAACCCAATAACAAGCTGACTAATTCCCGAGTACCTACTCACTGCTAGGTGAAGAGAGGCATTAGGTGAAAGGATATGTGACCAACCATTTCTGTCCCGTCCGGGATTCGAACCCGGAATTTTCGATTGTGCATCGAGAACGAATCCGATTGAACCTTAATATAAATAAAATAAAAAATCGAACAGTCTGGCCTTCTCCTTTTTAAAATTGTACAACTAGGTGTGTTATTTACAAAATACAAAATGTTTCAAATTTGATATGCGAAAAATAATAATAATTCATTGTGTCGAGGGACAGGAAGCCTGAGTGTATTCATACACGGTAGGTTTATATCGAGGTCCTCCTTCCCTCCCCCCCCCCCCGTTCAATCCCCGACCGTCTAAAGTGGTTGGGCACCATTCATTACCCTCCCGTTTCACCCCAAATCCTTTTCCTGACCCCTTCCCAGTGCTATAATGTCATAATGGCTTGGCGTTTTCCCCCCATGATAGTAGTAACCTCCCCCCCCCCTTCAGGTCGAATTACTGACCCCGTCCAGGATGCAACCTCACAACAAACTGACTAACTGCTGAGTACCTACCGAGTACCAGGTCCGCCAATTCTCTTTTGAGAAACGGTCTGGGTGCCCACCTTTGGTCCTTCACATAGCCCAAGACTAATGTAAACTCTCCGTGGATATACACAAAGAAATGGAATACACCGCTCGTTGTATACATCACTGTAGTATACTGTATTATAAGTTTGGGTCTTTGCAGATACTGCTTGGCGGACAGCTTGGTACTGGAGAGCGGGACACCTCACACCCTCCAGCCAGTTCCTGGACCATGCTCATGACCATCGTAGGCAAACGAGGAGCGAGACTGGTAGAAATGCTATAAAAACAGAACAATGAGAAAAGGATTGGCTTCACCCATATTAATTACTAACATTCCTGTAATATGAATTTAAAGAATGAGCACATATACGTTCGTCGTTGAACTTCCATCTGAAAATAGTTAGCCATAAAAAATTTTCATTTTCTATCACATCAAATGCTCTTATAGAAAATGTAATCAATCGTCGAATAATGGAAGGAACTATAACTATTCTAATCAATAAGGACCTAGGTTATTGTTTAACAGGCGACTATGACAGATTCTGTTTTCGTCATGTGTTAAGTCTTTTAAAGAAGTAACTGAAGGAAGCTTTATAGTGCTTTTCATACTTCTGCAGCAGTGAAATGTGGAAGTTTTTCCCACTTCTGCAGTGGGAGTTTAATTATATTGGGCTCTCAGACCTACCGTAGTGACCGGAGGACTCCATGTGGTGGTCTCCGTACCACAGTAACTGGAGGAGGTTAAGTGAACTCTCCGGCGGCCAGATCTCATCATTTACCTCTAATGCTATAGCTAAGAATATTAATTTATGCACTGTATAAATATTTTAGCATGAGGTTATAATGTTCAAAACATTCAATGAATCCAAACTGCAATTACGTAATCGATTTTGGTGATTGTGTTTTGCTTACTTATATAAATGATACATTATATAAAGTGGGTAATATTGGTCTTTCATCAAGCATAAACCATAATGACTTACCTGAATGTTATCGGAGCTTTTTGGTAAGAAATGTCAACACGGCACTGAACTGTTCATAACCTATTTGGTCAAAGTAATCCACAATCTATCTATTATAGATTACTTTGACTGTCACAGCCCAAGTGGCTCGTAACTGTATGATTCTTGGTACAATAGACATGTAATGTTAATTTTGGTTTTACTTTTTGTATTTCTCCAAAACCCGAGATTGGCATTTGTACTATACTGAAAAACACGAACAATACATACAACACACACACACACACACACACACACACACACACACACACACACACACACACACACACACACACACACACACACACACGTTGCACACACACACACTGCAACCCGTTCTCGCAAATTTAATAAGTCAATATTGACTTATTAAATATGTGCATAGGTGACATACTTAACATAATAGTTTCCCTTGAACAGCTTCATAGAAAACACCGACCTTACCTAACCTACTTAGTATGTTAAGATAAGCATCTTATTGCTTCGTAATTACAATTATTACCTAACCTATACCTATAATAGGTTAAGTAACAATTGTAATTACGAAGCTATAAGATGCTTATTTTAACATACTAAGTAGGTTAGGTAAGGTCGGTGTTTTCTATGAAGCTTTTCAAGGGAAACTTTTATGTTTAGTATGTCACCTATGCACGCAACTAATAAGTCAATATTGACTTATTAAATTTGCGAGAACGGGTTGCGACGTTGCAGCCGACGGCGCCAGATGATGATGTCACTCTCGACGTTGGTTCAGCCTTGGTGACCAAACGCAGGTGCAGTGGACCTAGAAGGGGGAGGTGCCCCTTAGTGTTGTTCTGGGGCACCGGGTTTCTACAGTAGGTGGCCGTTACTTGAAGCACACTCGGGAGGAGGCCTGCCCAATCCCAAACCCCCCACCCCTCGCTGCTCAGCCCTGTATCTTAAGCTCCCTCACCCAGTCGACGAGAGGTCTGCCCCTTGGGCGATTTAATTGTAGCCGTTAATTATTATTTATTTATGTTCTTTATAAATGTGCTTCTTTACAGTCTGATTGTTAGTCATGGTGTGCTTCCTCACGCTACATTTTATTAATGTAATTTTACCTTTGCTTCTGCCTCATGCCTATGTTTATATATATGGTGGTGCTGTTATTGTTGTTTCATGACATTTAATGCCCAAGTCAGCTCTGTTTTAGTGCTTTTGTTTTACTCTACTCTACACGCTGGCTATATAAAAAATTTATATTATTGGACTTTCAGTTATGTTGTGTTAATCCTTGCAATTTTTCCTACAATTTAGCATTGCTCAAGCCCCTGCCTTTAAGTTTACACCCTGGACGTGCAACACGTTTTGACTTCCCTCAGCAACTTATTCTGCAATTCATGATTTTTCCAGGCTCCCTGTTTCTTTTACTTATCCCGGGTTCACAATTAAGTATGTTTGATTTGCTTATCGCCATTGACTTTACCTAAAGTCAACTGGGATGTGCCAGTTGCCGAGTTGCAGGCCCCAAGCCTCTTGCTTTTACATTATCTTGGGCTTGCAATTACGATTTGTTTCCCTTTGCAATTTATTATTACAATTTATGCATCGCCCACGTTTTATTAACTTATATAAAACCCTTGCTTACTGTATTGAGTTATTAAGTAAAGTAACCTAGGATGTGCTAGTTGCTGAGTTACAGGCCTCATGCCTCTGGATTTAAGATTATCCTGACCTTGCGTATACCATTAATTTAACTCAATTTACTACTGCAATATATGCAGGCTCAAGCTGCATGGTATTTTACTCTTACTGGTTTTTGCATTTATGATTGCTTAACTTTTGTGTCGCCATTAAGTTAAGTAACTCAGCTAAGATGTGATAGGCGCAGTGTCCCCTTTGCCTCTTGCTTTAGGATTACTGGCCCTGCATTTATGTTTAGTTACCTCAGCAAATATACTGCAATTTTGCATCGTTCTTGCTGCATGTTTGTTTTACTTATTACCGGTTTACAATTATATTTGTTTAATTTTTGCTAAGAGGAGGTAGCCGCGGGAGAGAATCAGTAATAGCGAGAATCCCTCTTGGATACAAATATCCATGGAAATTCGGAATGGAAACAACAGTTGAGCAGCGGAGTTGCAGAATCTGGGATGTGAGGGACAGACACCGCCTTGACCACTACCTGAGAGACATAAGAAATATGTGTAGAATAATAAGCCCCACATTGTTTGAGTTAGGGAAAACACTACTTGTTAAATATAGATACTGTTCTTGAAAGATTTCCCAATTTTGCACTCGCAAGATAACGTAAGATTTTAAGGGTTAATAGATGTTAATCTTATTGTTTGAAGAGCTGTTCACTTGAGACAGTTAAGCAAGTCCCAGCTGTGTCTGGGTACAAGTGACAGGATGAACAAACCAGCGGGTTTTCTTCCTATTGGGGAGTGTTGTACATGCTGCTATGGCGGTGTGTCCACTCACAGGATGAGTGGCGCTGCCCAATACTGTCACTATGGTGGTTGCCCACTCAAAGGATGAGTGGCGCTGCCCAATACTGTCACCATGGCGGTGTGTCCACTCACAGGATGAGTGACTCTGCCTAATACTGTCACTATGGCGGTGTGTCCACTCACAGGATGAGTGGCGCTGCCCAATACTGTCACTATGGTGGTGTGCCCACTCACAGGATGAGTGGCGCTGCCCAATACTGTCACCATGGCGGTGTGTCCACTCACAGGATGAGGGGCGCTGGTCAATACTGTCACTATGGTGGTGTGCCCACTCACAGAATGAGTGGCGCTGCCCAATAAACTTGCCCCTCGGGACAAAATTTTTTTTAATACATCCCATGGCCCCCCCTCCCCCCAAAAATATGCAGGCAGGGGATAAAGTTCTAGACCTGCTCCTCCAGCCCAACCACTTGGGCTGGATGGTAGAGCGACGGTCTCGCGTCATGCAGGTCGGCGTTCAATCCCCGACCGTCCATCAAGTGGTTGGGCACCATTCCTTCTCCCCCCCCCCCGACCCATCCCATCCCAAATCCTTTTCCTGACCCCCTTCCAACTGCTATCGAGTCGTAGTGGCATGGCGCTTTCTCCTGATAGTTCCGTTCCCTTCCTCCTCCCACCCACCCTCACCCCCTCGACACACACTCACACACACATGGCGGTTCACATGTTCATGCTGCCAGAGAGTGACTTACACCGTGTCCGTGCGTTGCACGCCTGCTTCAGCGCACCACCACGCGAGGTAAGTCACAAGAGTTCGTGCTCAGAATCTGAGCTACTATTTTACATAGGTTATCTTGATGTTATCTTGAGATGATTTCGGGGCTTTAGTGTCCCCGCGGCCCGGTCCTCGACCAGGCCTCCACCCCCAGGAAGCAGCCCGTGACAGCTGACTAACACCCAGGTACCTATTTTACTGCTAGGTAACAGGGGCATGGGGTGAAAGAAACTCTGCCCATTGTTTCTCGCCGACGCCTGGGATCGAACCCAGGACCACAGGATCACAAGTCCCGCGTGCTGTCCGCTCGGCCGACCGGCTCCCTACCGGTACTCTGTCGGCTTATTTAAAAACAATAGTATACAAAGCTTGGGGCTTCATAGGTTCATACAAGCCAGTTTACATTGGTATGTACTCTTAATTAAGAAAGGGTTCATTTGCGTCTTTGATTTATTGACAAAAAGAGTGGAACAAAGGCAGGTCGACAAAGGGGACATAATACACCGAGAGGTATACTCAACCCCTCTGTGTATATACACACAGTTTACTTTAGTCTGTTCGAGACTAAGGAATTCTGGCTAGTTGGTCAGCAAATTGCTGTTGTTACCTTAATTTGATAACCTTCCATTGATTGATAGGTGTTAAGCCCAGCACTAAAGAAAGTGTTGTTGCCAAGGCTTTCAGTCTTACCTCAGCCTTATCTCAGGCTCCGAGAGGTGGCCAGAGGTCACACACACACTCGTGATCACACTTCCCTCACGATTCGTGGAGACATGAAATCTACTTCTACTAGTCAAAATAAATCTGTTTAACTAACCAAATTAAATCTATCTTGAACTAGCCAAATTATAGCATATATTAACCAAATCATAGCATATAGTTACCAAATTATAGCAGCAACTAACGAAACTGAAGCTCAAACTAACAAAATTATAGCCAGATGGAGAGAGGCGACCGGAACGAGATCAAGGGGACGGGAAGCACTGGACAAGGAATGTGGTGGACACAATGTCCCAGCGTCATCCTTTGGACAAGTCATTCATCCGGACTCGTCCACATATGACGCATAAACTTTCAGCAATGTATAACGTCCTCCATTCCTACCTGGTATACATGCCTCCCTGGTATACATGTACAGAATCTCCACGCATCCCGGGGTATACTTGTATAGCAACTTCTTCGCCTCCCTGGGGATTAACGTATAGCGACCTTCACTCCTCCTTGGGTAATGTGGTGGCTCCAACAGCTCCATATCCTCCTACAGCCCCACATACACCTCCCATAGCCCCAAACACTACTCCTACAACCCCACATACACCTACAGCCTCACACACTCATCCTACAGCCCCACACACACTCCTCCTACAGCCCCACATACACACTCCTATAGCCCCAAACACACACTCCTACAGCCCCCCACACACACTCCTCCTATAGCCCCACACACACACTCCTACAGCCCCACACACACACTCCTCCTATAGCCCCACACACACACTCCTCCTACAGCCCCACACACACACTCCTCCTACAGCCCCACATACATCTACAGCCCCACATACAACTACAGCCCCAAATACTACTCCTACAACCCCATTTGAACTTCTCAAGTGGCCAGTCTACTGGCCATTTGAGGAGTTCATGCAGATCTCTTTGTAAGGCTACAATATCATTATTATTTCCAACTTTATCATGAATCTTCGAGTCCTCTGCAAATTTGATGATGTAGTTTGTAATATTCTCATTTATGTCATTGATACATATGACAAACAGGGTTGGCCCCAAATTGAACCCCTGTGGTACACCACTTACCACATTTCTCCAGTCAGATTCATACCCATTTAATACGACTCTCTTATACATACTTGTACACAGGCTTCCTGTCCCCCACAAAAGAATTAAATATATGTATCTTAAGGGAGGTGGTAGAACAGTGATGAATCATGACTTCAAGTGCTGGACCCCAGTGGTTTTTAGGACTGTTCATTTGTGGTGAAATTATTATATGCAACTTTTTTTTCGTGTCTACCATGTATTCCCTCTCCCCATTCCCATCCGATGGTTGGTGGGTCAATGTTACCGTCACGTGCTTATCATGGGCTCCACCACACACCCATCCTGTGGGTGGTAAGGGGACGGTTAGAGTCACGTGCATACGGAAGATATACAGCGACACTTGGTTAAGGTTTTTAGTGTCAAATAATTATCAATAATGCCTTTAGACATTTCCGAAACATTTATGATAGTGTTCGCCTATCTTAAATTACTTTAATTGCTTCACAATATATTACATATTGATGCCGGGCGTGCGAGCAGCTCTCCTGACACTGAAAAATGATAATTGAAAAAAACTTATTTTGAAAAGGGTTCACAAATATCTATTTTTCTACGCATCAGACTCAATAGGTTAGGTGGGTTGCATAGGTTCGTACGTTTCTGGTTAGGTAAAGAGGTTGGATTTATTTACGGAGTGACAAATCAAGAGAACGGGCGGAATACTTGGGGCATTGGGGTAGGAGAGTGAGAGGGATGTGGTGTGCGGGTAGGAGGAAGGGAAGGGGGAGTGGACGGCATGTGATGATGGGTAAGTGGATAGTGGGGGATAATGGGGGTAGTGGGAGGGAGCCAGGCTAGGGGGTAATGAGGTAATATATGAGGACATTGTTGTGTGAGGTCCACCAGAGGCGCCCCAGCTGTACGGGGACACACATCCGCTCATTCACACTCTGCGTCCATTGTCTCGCTCCAGGTAAGCCTTATTTCCACTCGCAATTTGATACGTTAAGTTTATTTACGGCTTGATGTGGCAAGTCTTTTTACACTACAGTTGGCTTCCTTCTCGACTTGCAGTCGGGGATCCCATATTAAATTCCCGGCCGGGACAGAGATGATTGGGCACATTTCCTTTCACCTAAAGTAGCTGTTCACCTAGCAGTAACTAGATAGCTGGGAGTGAGGCAACAGTTATGGGGTTGCATCCTGGTAAGGATCAGTAGTTCGACCTTAGGGGACCTCCAGGGATAGAAATCGTTACCATGAGCGCCGTTTCTATCACCAAATGCCACTGTTCACCTAGCAGTAAATAGGTACCCAGGAGTTAGTCAGCTTGTTGTGGGGTTGCATCCTGGGCGGGGTCAGTAATTCGACCTTGGGGGACCTCCATATAAGCCTAACATGCATATATACACTGGCTGCCTGTCCTTCGACAAAATATTTCGATTTTAAAAATTAATAATTATTATATTATATTATATATATATACCGTTGTCGAGGATATAAAGCCTGGTCTTAGGCTTATCTAGGTCTCCCTAGACCAACTACTGACTTTCACCAGGATGCAACCTACATCAGTTGGCTAACTACACGTACCTATTTTACCGCTAGGTAAATAGGTGCATCAGATGAAAGGAAACGTGCTCAATTGTCCCGAACAACGAGAACTATAACTCACTGTAGACATTTACTACAGGATAGTGCCGATAAGTGAGCAGTACACCGGCTACCTCCTCCTCCTCCTCCATGTGGGTAGAGTCGCTCCTGCTGGTGGCGCTGGTGGCGGGGGTTCGTGGTCAGGGTGAGCAGGTCTACTGCTTCACAGATGACCCTGACCCCTACGTCGGGTTCTCCACCAAGACGGCTTACAATTTGGCCAGAGGAGAGGTCACTCCCGAGGAAATCGTTCCGGAAGGTGAGTTGAAGAGACTCGTGTGGCTGTAGCAGCGCATAGCGTAACTACATCATGTGCATGTGTTAGCTCTTGTGATAATTTACTTCAGTAGTTTCCTGGAGGCGGCGATGGAGCAGGGTAAAGAGGTCCCAGGAGATACAGATAAGTCTATCTTGCACATCCGTTATTCGGGTTTATCGCCGAAAGATAGCTCAGTCAATCATAGCTACGCTGGAAATAATGATAGCAACACAGTTGGCTTCGTTCTCGACTAACAATCGGGGATCTCGGCTCCCATTCCCGTGGCGGGACAGAAATAATTTCACCGAATGTTCTCTGTTTACTTAGCAGTAAATTGGTGCCTTGGGAGTGAGGCACCTGCTGAGGGGTTGTAGTCTGGGGAAGGTCAGCAGATCGACCTTGGTGATGACCTTGATTGAAGCCTAAAGTTATATATATATATATATATATATATATATATATATATATATATATATATATATATATATATATATATATATATATATATATATATATATATATATATATATATATATTACAATTATATACAAAAGTTTCACGTTTTCAATATAACTAATTAAATATTTGAGTTAGTGTTCAGCGAAGTTTATAAAATCAAACTGTAACAGAAGACGAACTTTTCGAGGAGTAACTTGAGAATTGCCTAAATTAGAGCCACTTTCCTAACCTTAGTAAACCTCCTGGTCAGTGCTGGGCAAACGACGTAGATTTAATAATGAATCAAAACGTTAAAAAAAAAAATTACCCTACGTTGATTAAACGCTACTTAAACATGGTTTGCCCGCTAGTTGCAGATATTTCGAATATTTATTTATTTATTTATATATATATACAAGAAGGTACATTGGGATTGTGAGGATACATAATATAGTAATTACAATCTTGTAAAGCCACTAGTACGCGCAGCGTTTACATGCTTTGATGGTGGACGATGCTTGTTTTGGACATATGACCTTTGGAAATTAAGTTGTGTTTGTGTGCGCTTCTGTGGGAAAGTCGATTTTTTTTTTTTTTTTTTTTTTTTTTTTTTTGAGATATATACAAGAGTTGTTACATTCTTGTACAGCCACTAGTACGCGTAGCGTTTCGGGCAAGTCCTTAATCCTAAGGTCCCTGGAATACGATCCCCTGCCGCGAAGAATAGTTTTTTCATCCAAGTACACATTTTACTGTTGCGTTAAACAGAGGCTACAGTTAAGGAATTGCGCCCAGTAAATCCTCCCCGGCCAGGATACGAACCCATGACATAGCGCTCGCGGAACGCCAGGCGAGTGTCTTACCACTACACCACGGAGACTAAATTTCTCGAATATAGTATTTGACCATTCCTCAGGAAGCGACCCAAGACGGTCAGCTGACAGAAAGAACCAATTTACTGCTAGGTGGACAGAGACATCGAATGAATGAAAGGATATTTGAAAAATAGTCTCGCCCTGCAAAGGATTCTAAGACAGGTGATTGTGAGCACGACAGGTTAATTAGGATTAAGTAACCATTGTTTACAGGTTAACCAAGGATTACGTAAGTATTGTGGGAGTATGTAAGATGGTGATGAATGTGTCTCCTGAAGTTAAGTAGATCAGCGCCCAGAACATCGTTATAGGTTACGTAAGGAGTTTATAATTCTCAAGTCATTCTTCAAAATGTATCCGTTTTCTATTACGGCCCACTTGCCTTACTAATAATGCATTAGACTAACTAAACTAATTAGTGTGTGTGGGTGAGGCAGGGTGTGAGCCACGGCAGATATGGCACCTGGTGAGGCACGGCACTCGTTACCCCTCTGACGATGACACTGCAGCCTTCCTGCTGACCCTACCTGGCCTCCAGATCGACATTCTCCTCGCTCACCAGGAAGGTCAAGGTCAGTGCCCCTGGCAACACTTATATAGTCGCGGGTAGAAAATTAATTAACCAATAATCTCACCGACTGATGAGGGAAGATGATTGTAGATTACCTTCGGAGGACGATGGGATCCTGGACTCTTTGTTGGTTGGTGGTTTTGAAGGAAACACAGCTGCTGTTGTTGTTGTTGAGACTGGTCATTGTCAACACTCATCACATACCTCAACCAGGGGGTGTTGGTTGGTTCCTCTAGAGGGGGATGGACACCTGGTTGTCAGCTGATGCCTGTGTCACTACTAGATGAGTGTAGGTGGGTTGTCCGAGGTTTGAGACAGAACTGTGGGCAGGAAATCTTTTTGTTTGACTTTGTACAACTGAAAGCAAGTTGCATCAGCTAGCAAGCGAAATAAAACACTAATAGTAATAGTCCCTACCTGACCATCACCAGGAGAGTAATAGTCCCTACCTGACCATCACCAGGAGAGTAATAGTCCCTACCTGACCATCACCAGGAGAGTAATAGTCCCTACCTGACCATCACCAGGAGAGTAATAGTCCCTACCTGACCATCACCAGGAGAGTAATAGTCCCTACCTGACCATCACCAGGAGAGTAATAGTCCCTACCTGACCATCACCAGGAGAGTAATAGTCCCTACCTGACCATCACCAGGAGAGTAATAGTCCCTACCTGACCATCACCAGGAGAGCTGTGTGACGGGGACCTGACGCTGCTGACGGGCTGGTCGATAGGAGCCCTCAATATGACCTGGTCGTCGCAGTTGGCGCCCGAGGGATACCGGGAACTGGAAGCCATAGCCACAAGGTACAAGGAATCTCTCCCTCTCCTGCTCGACCAACCCTTCACCAACAGTTCCTTCAAGGTGAGCTGTAGAGGGGACACAGTCTATACTACTAGTGTGTTTTCTTGTGACATATATATATATATACACATCACCTTGCAGTAAATTCTGGTATGTTACTTTCATAAGTTTTTTCAATGACAGGAATAGAAGCTTTGACACGAATGTATTCAGTCTAAATAATTAATAAAAGGTATTAATTCAAAGTGAAAATAAGTATATCTAAATTGGCGTTTAATAATATTAGTGTATAAAAAGATTGTATCGTGTCAAGAACATATTTTGGTTGCGAGTGTTCGAGTGCGCATGTTAACGACCAGTTGAGTTCGAAGAGATCATAGAACGTAGTTAACGTTTTCTTGTGCCACAGTTCCGCCACACAGCCACGCAGAGGACGGAGGCCAGCGCCCGTTCCTACGCCCTGGGGCTCTTCGGCGACGACAGTGCGTACATACCAGAGGCCCTCGACCCCGACCCTCTCCTGAGGGTACGTGGCGCCTCTCTCAACACTCTCGATCTCGATCCCTGCTCTCCTGTTTTGGTTTGGTTTGAATGCTAAAATTTAGGTCTCGAGCCAAATATTGGAATGTTTTAAGCTATTCAGCGCCATGTTTTCCACAGAACACAATCTTCAAATCCCTTTACAACAACGTCCCCAAATGACTGCATATATATATAGATGACATTTTCATGGTATTAGAAATGAGAAACATATAAAATAGAGATGTGATTATCTCGTTTTTAAATTCATGCACGAACAGGCTAGCACTGTACAACCAGGTCCTCAGTTCTTCCTCCTCCGATATTACACTTGCATTAACACTTCAAGTAGTTTCTCCCATGATTTACGTACCAGCTTCTGGTTCCGTCACTCTCAAGTCACTCCTCGGCCCACAGTTCTACGATGTATGTAGTGACTACCAGACGCAGGTGGAAGACAACCCGGACGCCACCCTGGAGACTCGTCTCTTCGAAGAAGGAGAGGAGATGACCTCAGTCGTTTTCAACGTCTCCCGCCGTCTGGGAGTCCCTCTCGTATTGGGTATGATCATGAGTATATATATATGTTGTACCTAGTAAATAACTGTAGCTAGATCTGCTGAAAATAACTTGTTGAAACGTTCTCATAAAATAGCTCATGGCAAGGACAGATTTTGTTTTATATGTACCGTGTTTGTTGCCGAGTAGACGAGGTATTGGTGCTATACGACGCCTGCCGCTTCTACAAGGCCTGGGACCCTCCTTCTGCAGCAGCCTGGTGCGTGGTCTTCACACCCGACGACCTCAAGGTGGGTCGCTAGCTCTGTCTCTCTGTCTTTTCCTCTGTGTCTCTTTGTCTCCATAGCCAAAAATAGCCTAACATTGAGAGGTAGAGATACGAGCCTAACATTGAGAGGTAGAGATACGAGCCTAACATTGAGAGGTAGAGATACGAGCCTAACATTGAGAGGTAGAGATACGAGCCTAACATTGAGAGGTAGAGATACGAGCCTAACATTGAGAGGTAGAGATACGAGCCTAACATTGAGAGGTAGAGATACGAGCCTAACATTTTACCTCGTCCGTGGACAGGTGCTGGAGTACTGGCAAGACCTTGATTACTACTACACCAACGGCTACGGTCACGCTATCAACTACGAGATGGCCTGTCCTCCCGTGCAGGACCTCCTTCAGCACTTCAGGTAATCCTACAAAGAACATACGATTACATGGAACCACAGAAGGCTTATTGGCCCATGCGAGGGCAGGTTCTATTTATACCCAACTCAGTTCATTCATATACATGTTCAACCTTCGCTTGAAACAATCCAGTGAATTCAGGTCTATTATGTTACCCGGTAATTTGTGTCATAAATCTGCAGCATACTATTTCCAAAACCTGTATTTACCCAGGGCTTTTACATAAATCTAAATTTATCTAATTTGTCTCCATGTTTGTGGGTTCATATATATATATATATATATATATATATATATATATATATATATATATATATATATGAGCACACAAACTATGAGTGCTCATATTATATATATATATATATATATATATATATATATATATATATATATATATATATATATATATATATATATATATATATATATATATATATATATATATGTCGTACCTAGTAGCCAGAACGCACTTCTCAGCCTACTATGCAAGGCCCGATTTACCTAACAAGCCAAGTTTTCCTGAGTTAATCTATTTTCTCAATTTTTTTCTTATGAAATGATAAAGCTAACCATTTCATTATGTATGAGGTCAATTTTTTTTATTGGAGTTAAAATTAACGTAGATATATGACCGAACCTAACCAACCCTACCTAACCTAACCTAACCTATCTTTATAGGTTAGGTTGGGTTAGGTAGCCGAAAAAGTTAGGTTAGGTTAGGTTAGGTAGGTTAGGTAGTCGAAAAAACATTATTTCATGAAAACTTGGCTTATTAGGCAAATCGGGCCTTGCATAGTAGGCTGAGAAGTGCGTTCTGGCTACTAGGTACGACATATATATATATATATATATATATATATATATATATATATATATATATAGAGAGAGAGAGAGAGAGAGAGAGAGAGAGAGAGAGAGAGAGAGAGAGAGAGAGAGAGAGAGAGAGAGAGAGAGAGAGAGAGAGAGAGAGAGAGAGAGAGACTCATGCCTTCCGGCACTGTATGTATTCTAGTGAGATACGTGCTTGATTGTAGTGTATATGTATTAATCTACCAAATTCTATTGAACTGAATTTGTATTAATCTAGCAAATACTCTATGGAACTGTACGTGTAGCAGTTTGCTTAACTTAGAATCGATACTTTTCGGTCAAATAATAATATTTTTCCATTCCAAATCTTGCCCAGGTCATGATAATCTTGCTCAGGTCATGATAATCTTGCCCAGGTCATGATAATCTTGCCCAGGTCATGATAATCTTGCCCCAGGTCATGATAATCTTGCCCCAGGTCATGATAATCTTGCCCCAGGTCATGATAATCTTGCCCAGGTCATGATAATCTTGCCCAGGTCATGATAATCTTGCCCAGGTCATGATAATCTTGCCCAGGTCATGATAATCTTGCCCAGGTCATGATAATCTTGCCCAGGTCATGATAATCTTGCCCAGGTCATGATAATCTTGCCCAGGTCATGATAATCTTGCCCAGGTCATGATAATCTTGCCCAGGTCATGATAATCTTGCCCAGGTCATGATAATCTTGCCCAGGTCATGATAATCTTGCCCAGGTCATGATAATCTTGCCCCAGGTCATGATAATCTTGCCCAGGTCATGATAATCTTGCCCAGGTCATGATAATCTTGCCTAGGTCAAATAATATTTCATCGTGTTACTATGCCTTCCAGGGGGGGGGGGTACAAATAGCCTAAGCTACTCTATCCCTTTGAGATGTATTTATTGCTTATCTCAATAAACATACTTGAACTTGAACTTGAACTTGCCTTCCAGTGCCGTGGTGGAGGGCCAAGAGGAACCCAGCGGGGTCTTCCACTTCAGCCACAGTGAGGCTTTACAACCGGTAAGTCCCCCAAGCTCCAGCCTGGGGTAGAGGGCTCGTATCTCTACCTCTCAATGTTAGGCTCGTATCTCTACCTCTCAATGTTAGGCTCGTATCTCTACCTCTCAATGTTAGGCTCGTATCTCTACCTCTCAATGTTAGGCTCGTATCTCTACCTCTCAATGTTAGGCTCGTATCTCTACCTCTCAATGTTAGGCTCGTATCTCTACCTCTCAATGTTAGGCTCGTATCTCTACCTCTCAATGTTAGGCTCGTATCTCTACCTCTCAATGTTAGGCTCGTATCTCTACCTCTCAATGTTAGGGATCTTCCCTGTCTTAACCTTCCTCTAATATTGGCCGATCTTTATCTTTCATGTTCTTAGTCTTGCGTATTTTGTCCTAATCTTTGTTCTGCCGTGTCCTAACTTTTTAATCTTCCGTGTCCTAATCTACTTTAAGGCGTTTTTTAAAGAACATTATGAGTAGAGGAAACTATTTTTCTATATTTCTCGAGCGTTTGTTTGTGATTTTACGCATTTCAAGACGTTTCTCTTTGATTTTACACTCTTTAGGGGGCGTTTCTTTTCGGGTTTATGTTCCTTTCCTGCCGTTTCTTGCTGAAATTTTCACCTTTTGGGGGGAGTTTCCTTTGAACTTTTGCATTGTTTTTAAGAGTTATACACTGCTTTCGGTTCATGATTGCGATATTCTGTATCCAAACAGATCCGTTGATAATAGGACGATATTGTACGCGTTCTGCTAACGTACCATCGACCTTGTGTCATTTATCGCTCGATGAAATCCTTCACTTCGAGGGCCCTGTGTGTCTTTGCTCTTATATTGACATCCTGAATTATATCTAGGAAAGTTTGTATATTTTTCGACACATACGGTTAAGTAATCTTCCAGGCTTGGCGCTTCCCCTAATTACTTATCATCGACTTATTTTCACACTACCAGCTGCTTGTAACAAGGTCGGTTTTGAGCGTTAGAGATGCATTTTTAACCCTTCAGTAAGTAATAAGGTGTAACAAAAGTAGTTAAAGAGTTTCATGATATTTGCAATCCGACAGAACCCTTTCGCATCGCTTTGCCTCCTCATAACTGTATCCCTTTTATTCTCACAGGTCATGACCCGCCTGGGACTGTTCCAGGACTCGAAGCCCCTCACTCACGATCATGAGGATCCTGACCGCCTCTGGCGCACCTCCAGACACGGCAGCTTCGCCACCAACGTGGCCTTCACCCTCTCCTCCTGCGGCGCTGACCAGTGAGTACCTCGGCCATCTACACCACACACCGCCGCCTTCCCTCGGCGCGTCATGTTTTCGGTCTTCAGGCAATCCGTTCTCGTAAGTTTAACAACGTCAAGAAAACGGTCAATTTAAAGTGTCCTCTCCTAACCTATCGCATGACCCAAAACACAAAACGGAACTGTACGTCACTTTCGCGCGTCGCTTCCATTATCTAGTACGACAATTTTTGGCCTTATGTAACGCATACGATTGAATTGCGAAGTTCTTGGAAGAGGACAGGTTGCTTTAGGATCCTCTCCCAAGTAAACACTTCGGTAAATCGCTTTCTCTTGAAGCATCATGTTCGCTGGCTCTCTCTCTCTCCCGCTGACGTCTTCCGGCTAGTGTCACTCACCTGTGTCACTCACCTAGTGTCACTTACACAGCGTTCTTCGTTTGGCCTTCTCCAAGCTCTATCTATATTTATCTTACATTTTCTTCCCTGCACCTACGAGTTTATCATCCGAAAACCACCTTTCACTCTTATCACACTAGCACAACGTCTCACATTTCCGTTAGTAATGCACCAGTTGTACATTAATTGTATTTTTAATTGACATTTATTAATACTCTCAAAGGTAAGGTAGGAGCGCTCAGCCAATATAGATATATAGAAACTGGAAGGCATATACAGTATATATATATGACAGGATAGGAACTGGGATATGAGGGCCAAGGGCAGAAATGGTGCCCAGGAACTTGGAACATCGGGAATTGAACACCGACTTGCAAGTATAGAGACCGTCGCTGTACCTACCGATTAGTCCTGGTGGATGGGTAGCAGTCGTTAATAAACATAACATTAGGAACTTTATTATATTGTGACTAACCTGTTTGAAGTCTTGAAACTTTCAGAGAAAATGTACATTGATATACTTAAGGAAAATTTATTTGCATTAGAGTGTTGAAATTTTAATAATTTGTTGAGCAATATTGTTCAAATTTTATGTCATTATATTTTACAATGTTATTAATATATGAAACAAGGTAATATAAACAAATTATCGAGTTTAAACCCTATCAGACTACTGCTAAATAATTATAAATATCGTATAATGAATAATTTTTAGTATAAATTTTCTGCTCAAGAAAACTTTAGGAAAGCTGTTCAAGAGAACACCTTTGGTTGGTTGTTTTGGAATCCTCATAAAGTAATCTATTGTGTGCGTCTCCCTCCCTTGAGCACGTGTACTGTGACATGAGCACAACGCTCAATAGCACCTCAGCGCTCACGCCATGAACTCGAGACCTAGCATATAGATGAAGTCAATTAGGACAGATTCACTAATTAAATATCCTTTGTTATTAAATTCCATAAGCAAGAGATCCAAAATCAGGTGGCGTGTCGTTATTCACTCAGGTGGTGGGTGAGCGCGGCTGTGAGCGAGCAGGTGGTGTCTCTAGGTGGGTGTGCCAGCTCCCTTGGGTGTACGTGGGATGAGTTCATTGCCACCTACGGCCAGTTCCTGCAGTGTGACCTGGACGCCATCTGCCACAACACCCTCACGGCAGGTTAGTGTTCCCATGATTGTGCTCGAAGTTGCACCTAATCACGTCCACTCATGTATATGTCTAACCTACACTTAAAACAATCCAGCGACATGTGTAATAATTTGTCCATCAACCGGTTCCTTAATCTCCAAGCCTAGTATCAACCAGTTTCATAAACCACAAGCCTAATACTAAACCAGTATCAACCTAATTCTTTCTGAATCTAAAACTTTTCCAAGTTACATCCAGTACTTCATGTCCTAACAAGATGGATACTAATACTATGCTTATAGTTTGCTCCCCATTATTACACCGTTTCATCCATTTGAATGTTCCCATTATGTTCTTCATTTCCCTTCGCATTTTTTAAAAACTATTATTACGCTTTCTTCACCTCTCTTCATAAAGGAGGTTCGTAACGATGTGTATTCGTTACCCTGCACATTTTCAGACGAATTTAGGTCCATTTAGGTACGGTTCCCAAACTGTGTATGCTAAATAGGGCCTGACAAGAGCAAGATGAAACGTGAAAAACATTTTATATTTTATTACTAATGCTTCTATATAAATCTCAGTATCCTGTTTGAATGGCATGTATTGATTTTTTTGGCTAAATCTCCCTACTAACGATGACTGATCTTTTTCCGCTTTCAGATTTGGCTATTTCAACGTCGGTCAACTGATATCTGGTAATTCTATTATTTCCTAGGCTCAGAGAGCCTACATTTATGTTCATTAAAAATGTATTTGACAATCTTTAATCCATTTTAAAAGCTAATGTAGTCTTGTAGTGATTTTCCGTCTTCGTCTGTACTTATTTGTCACCTGATTTCTGTATTTTGGTAGATTTGCTAATGTTGCTGTTCAGTCCCGAGTGCAATTTGTTTATATACACGAGAACAAAGGTCCCAAGACAGCCCTGAGACTCGCAACTTTGCTATAGTGTCCCCTCGCAACTTTTCCTTTACTTTGAGGTTCCTATACCTTGTTCCAGTTACGGGTCTATACCTTGTTCCAGTTACGGGTCTATACCTTGTTCCAGTTACGGGTCTCCTCTCCAATATTATGTTCCTCTACATTGCTAATTAGTCTTTAATGAGAAACAGTATTAAAGGCCTTGTTAAAGTCTATATAGCCTACATAATGAGATTATTTCCACAATTGATTTCTTCACTTATCCATGAACAAAAATTAGATCCAATTTGTTAAACTTTAGTGCAATGGTTTTTAGTTCAACTAAACTAAACGGCTCTTTGCTCAACAATGCTGTGTAGCCTTTGATGATCTGTGTTTTTCTATATATCCATCAATGGCATTTACGATTATAGATTCAAAAAATTTTCACACAATAGACATCAAACTAATTGGTCGACAGCTCTATGTACATGATCTATCCCCCTTCTTAAAAATCACTGCTAAATTAGTCCTCCACGAGTCCGGAACTCTACTCCAATGTTTTAGTATACACTGGCTTATAAAGCTTATCTTTATATTCTTCTATGGCCCGGGAAAATATCTCGTCTGGTCCCAAGGACTAAATGATGGTGCTGGTTGTGGCATTTGTTTTGGTTTATATATTTCTAACGGAAGAAATACGAGTTTTGTTGCATATACGTGTGAGTGGAAAGGTCTGTGCTATGTATGTGAGCATACAAGCGTTCACTTGTGCTGAGTCAAGTGTAAATAAAGATATAGAGTATTTTGAAACTAATCAAATCCTTCCTCACCCAGCCAGTGGTCCCAAGCCGGCGTGGGCAGCAGGCGTGGTGGGATCCCTTTACTTTCTCACCACTTGGACACAAAGCACCTTTACTTAAACCACTTGAACGGACACACAAACCACCTGAGTGGCCAGGTAAAACACTTGGCGGCTACAGCAACCACCTGTAAAACCAATCAACCACTTGACCGTCCACATCAACCACCTGACCCGCCACATCAACCATTTGGCCGGCCAACCTCTCGTCACCTACTATCACACTGGGCGCATCAATCTAATGGACTTGCGAAGAGTGAGGACTGACTAACTCCTTCCTGGAGTTCCATAGTGACGAAAGACATATTTTGTACCTTCTAACCCCGTAGATAATACACGAAAGGCCCTAGCAAAGTTCCAAATCAGGTCACCCACAACAGTTTTGGTCGAGAATCACTTGCTGAACTACTCCCCAAATTACCCGACGTCATCGTGGCGAGTTTGTCCTAAAACAGAGTCAATGAGGCCTCCATTGGCTCCTCCACAACATAGAATAAACAAATGAACAAATCCACAAGGGCCGTGACGAGGGTTCGAACCTATGTCCGAGAGAATCCCAGACGCTGCCTTAATCGAACTTTCGCTTCTGTTAGAATGTTGAGTAGTTATCTGGTGACCGCAAAAGATAATGTACAATTTGTTGAATAAAAAGATTAAACTATCAGAATGTTATTATTGAAGGGAATGTGGTCCCTTACGTCGATTTCTACTTCGCCCAGATTGCAACTGCATGCAGCGTCACCATTTTACAATGGCAGATGGTCAGGACAAATCATTATCCTGACTCCTCTTCCAAGTGCTATATAGTCGTAATGGCTTGGCGCTTTCCCCCGATAATTCCCTTCCTTTAACCCTTGTCAATTTCAGTTTAACAAAGATGAGAGCAATGCAGCTAGATTCAGGGTGCACGTGGTCGTGCATGGGTCCTGTAGGCCTCTAGGGTATTCCTTGCCGACAGGCTTCACCTAATCCTGAGTCACTTTGGTCGTGCCGGTCACCTCAATGCAAGAGGACTCTAAAGGATCTTCCAAGGGGATCAAAGATATTTGTATTTGATGAAGGCTTAAAATTTAAGAGTGTCAGAGTGGTGCTATGTCTGAGCTAAGGGCACTTCAAATCGGAAACTGAATTTAAGAAGATTTTGCATAAACACAAACGATTGGTTGATTGCTCAATAACCCACTACTCAATATGTCGAACAAATCTCTAACCTTATTCACCTTCCCTCTATCCCCTAATATTTCTCATCCAAGTCCTTATCCCTCCCGCTAAAGCTTCCTATCTCCATCGCCTCCTTCTCTTTCCTCACTGACGTCTAACTCCTTTACCTCCTACCTCGATCCCGGGTCGTCTCACTGTGAGGTGGCCATCTGCCGCTGCTCTCACCTCTCCAGTACTGGAAAGTTAAACTTCCTCATTTCTGAACGCGTGATTTATGCCCCCGATTAGTTAACGGACGCCATGTTGGCTTCTTGGGTTAGGTAGTGACCACATTCTTTGTCTGGAAATACCCAGACTGTGCTGGTTTGGGTCGGTAATGCCCCCAACACTGTTGCTTGCCGTGGGCGGCACGATGACACATGCTGAAGATATGACAGGTGTTGACAGGCCAGAAAACTATAGTTTCTCGAGTGATTCCACTAAACGTGCACCATCTCCACTTAGACACGGTGACACGCACTCAAGAGACACTCTCCCTGGGAGAAAGTGCTTCCTCCTACACATAATGACGAAAATATAAATAATGGAAGCAATAATAAACTATAAATATAGTTACATTAATTATTTTCATTATGTTTGTTATTCATAATATATTTGGAGAGAGAATGAGTCATGTTAGTGAAGGAGAGATTTGACATCTTCACATCATGAGCATAAGACGAAAGTGTAACACCTGTTATCATGCTCACCACAGCACTCATGCTCACCACAGCCCCCTCATGTTCACCACAGCCCCCTCATGCTCACCACAGCCCCTCATGCTCACCACAGCCCCCTCATGCTCACCACAGCCCCCTCATGCTCACCACAGCCCCCTCATGCTCACCACAGCCCCCTCATGCTCACCACAGCCCCCTCATGCTCACCACAGCCCCCTCATGCTCACCACAGCCCCCTCATGTTCACCACAGCCCCCTCATGCTCACCACAGCCCCTCATGCTCACCACAGCCCTCATGCTCACCACAGCCCCTCATGCTCACCACAGCCCTCATGCTCACCACAGCCCCTCATGCTCACCACCTGCTCTCTTACATCATGCAGGAAAGTCTTCAACACGCTCACAAAACCTCAAATTAACGTAAAATTGGGTTTAATTATCAGCTGTTCTTCATATACACACAGTACAGTTGCCAGGACTCCGAACTTCCTCTTTTATAGTCCCAGGTTCGAGGCTCCTATGATCCAAGCGAATCATTTTATATAATGAACAAATCCACAAGGGCCGTGACGAGGATTCGAACATTTTATATATATTTTTCACTTGGATCACTGGAGCCTCGACCCCTGGGGAGAGAGAGAGAGAGACGGTACCACATCTACCTAGCATTCGAGGGGACTATGTAGGTCCCAACCAATGCAGGTTTAGGTATCCTACCAGTCTAAAATTTATAGTTTGGGGGATTATAATGAATGATCAAAGATTGTGAACGTTTTGGGTCTGCGGATACGAACCGAAGATACAGTAGACGTTTCCTCTCTGGTTCGCCAGACTCAGACGCATGATTTCTTGCCTGTCTGCATGATTTGTTTGCCTGAGTGTATGCGTTTGTCTACCCATCTGTTTGCCTGTCGAGGTATCCCACAACACTCCCTATAAGCCTCCCGTCTCCAACAGAGTTGCCACCAACCTTTCACCACGACACTCCCATTCACCTTACTTTCTGTTTTTTCCCCCCTGTCTTTCGCTCTATTACCACCACTTGCGTCTCCGCCATGTGTTAGTGCTTGTCTGAGTCAGGGCGATGCTCTCATAACGTGGTGGTGTTATTATTCATGCTGCAGTGAATGTGTAGGCGAGTAATTCAGTGACATGTGTGTGGCTGTATTTATGCCTGGATATGTTGTGGATTGTGTGTGTGTGTGTGTGTGTGTGTGTGTGTGTGTGTGTGTGTGTGTGTGTGTGTGTGTGTGTGTGTGTGCGTGCTTACTATCTGTGCCTGCAGGATCGAGCCGTTAGCTCTTGGACTCCGCCTTTCCAACCGTCGGTTCTCTATTTGCCGATTCCCGACCTATTTTCATGTTATATCTACTTCAAATTTTTCTCTTATTAAAACCCAGAAATGTTGCTAGAGATGGTGAAAGTAATGATGAAGTTACAATGGTTGTAGTGAGGACGTACAGTGTTGGATACCTTGTGTGTGAAAATATTTTAAGCCATCATCAGTCACCGTTACTTTAAGTACTACCAAAACAAGAGGATAGACTGAATTCACTCACTGATTCGTATTGATAAGTCATTATTAACTCGGTGATTTATCGTGTCAATAGTAAGCGAAGGAGCTATTACCCATTAATGATCAAAGACATTTATGATAATTAACTTATTCACCGGAGCATTTGAGGCAAACAAGAAAACACAGAAAGGCCTACATTTACCCTTATAGCCTACACAGAGGCTATAAGTTCAGCTTTTTAATGGCGTTCTTCACATGCAGAGATGACCAGCTGACACGGTGTGTGGAGGTGTGGTTTGGTGGGGGTGAGGGCTGAAGGTAATTATACCAGGAGAAAGGGAGAAAGCCAGTATGACTGCATAGCACTTGAAAGGTATACGAGGACAGGCCAGGAATTGGCTTAGGAGAATGAGGTGAATGAATGGTGCCTAATGACCTGAACCTTTCGGGGATCGAAACTCCGACCCTGCAAGAAGAGAGGTCATCGCTCTATCAACTAGGCTAATACAAGGGGATGGACCGTAGAGTTGGGAGGGGGGGGGGGTAGGGAGGGGTGTTGGGGGGAGATTAATGTACGACTCGCTGTTCTCTGCTGACGTTGGTCAGCTGGTCTTTCGTACCTTAGTGCTGTAAACAGTTCAAATATAATCACAACTGATTACATTTGAACTGTTCTTTAACAGTGTTCTGCTTTCTTCATGTGATTAAATTGTACCTCTCTAAATACCCATCATTTACAGCATACACACACACACACACACACATTTACCCACACAAACAAGACACCTAGCCTATTCTAGCCTACGCCTAATTGTGCTCAAAATTACAATATACAATGATATTAATTTTAGTGCGAGAAAATAGCCTGTGGAGGAGGGGGTGAATAAACCATGAAGCGAAGCTAGCAAAGTTGAGTCTCACCTCACAAGAAGAAGTATCAAAGAGACATGATAATGCCATGCGAGATACTCTGGGTAATTAATAACGTTAATACCGAGAAAATGTTCAGTGTTAAGCAGGGCAGAACAAATTCAGAAGGATAGTAAATAGAAGTGCAGACAAGTCATAAATATGTTAGATAGATCTATGAACTAGACTCACTAGAGGGAGAGATGTTAGAAGCTAACAGAATAATTAGTTACAATAGTAGAAATGATATAAAACACGATGGTCGGGAGCCACTGCATTAGACAACTAACAACTTGTAATTTGGGGCTCAGGAGTTACTGCCCAACATCCACAAGCACACACACTCCTAAGCACACCATAATATTCTCCAACACAACTTGATACAGTTTCGAACAAATCCTGACACATTGCCCAACGTACTCCGACACACTCCTCAACGATCATATGTGCTCCCAGGACGCCCTTACGCACTTCCCGGAACACCGTGAGAGACCTCAACAATACCTCATCGTAACCCCTAAAGTGCCTCTAATATTGCCCAAAGAATCTGTCTTGAACGCTACCCTAAGAATCTGTCTTGAACGTTACCCAAAGAATCTGTCTTGAACGCTACCCTAGGGATCTGTCTTGAACAAGTTTCGAACACTACCCAAAGAAAAACCACCCCCAGCACACAAGCAACACGCCTCAAGCGCTTCCCCCAAGAGGCCTGTAGCACGCCCTAAGGACGTCTCCTCCCTCAAGAACCTCCTCAGAACTCCACTTCCTCAACTACGCCGATAGTGAAAGTGAAGCAATATAAACCAGGGGCCCCCGGAGTGAACACCACCAGTGTTAGGAGTGCCTTACTATCGTCGCCACCTCCCTCCCTCCTTCCTTCCCACCCATTCCACATTCAATTGATATATTTTCCAAATTGTGGACCACCAGGCGCCAACAGTTATGGTTCCAATTAAGCTAATGCAGGTAAGACATTGGGAAACCATGGGAAGAAAAAGGGAGAACTTACGTAAAGGTAAGAGTGAAGTAACGACGAGGACGTAGAGACGTTTAGTTACGTGGGATCTGATGATGACACAGACCAAATATAACAAAAATACCTACGTATGATTATTTGATAAAAAGACAATAGTAGGTTTATCTTCCCCTCTTGGGTGACAAGTGTGTCTAGGGTGTCGCGAACGGAAACTTTTAATATCCGTGTGGCTAAACCGGAGGAGGTGAAGCCTTGACTAACCTTGAGGGCAGAAGAGTTCGATATCAGTGTGACTGAACTCGAAGTGAAGTCATTAACCAATTACCAAGCAGGAATTTTCGACGTCATTGTGACCGGAGCGAAGGCAATCAGACCTTGAT